TGCTTCCGATAAGTTGTTTCACAACAGTTTTGATCACTGAAGCGTGTATTCAATATATCGCCTATTTAGATGCTGGTGATTAGTTTAACTGGACCTTTAATGCCTCTTAAATTATGTGCACTGCAGTAATCTTTTTACTACTTTAGTGTATTATTAATATTACTAGTAGAGGTACCTTGTAAAACATGTTTATGGTGAGACAGGGAACATTGGATAAATTAATTGGCTTACATTTTTCTCTTTATTTTGACAGGGAATGATTTGTACTAAAAAGAAAAACTGAAGAAAAAAAAGAAAAAAGAGAAAAAGTAACAAAGAAGAAACAAAGCCTTTTATTTTATATGTGATATTGTATTGTATAAAATATTAATTATATAGCATCTCATATTTGACACAGTGGGATAGTCTGAGAATCTCATCGTTCCTCTAACATGTGTTCCTCTTCCATTTACCAAGCACTTGAGTGTGTTTGTAAAGCCAAAGCCAGAGTGTCACTCACACCTCTTGGTATTCCTGTCGACAAAGACTCTTATCAACAGAAGACAGTCTCAATGCTAATTTTCCTTTCACCAGTCTGACGCCTGTCCAAATAACGATTGAAATCTTTCAACACTGTTTGCATACCGTTTCATATGAGCATTTTTTTCTGGGCTTAAACTCCATTTAAGTTTTTAATAATACATTAAAACGGTCCCTGTTCAGGTAAACACAATCTGATTACCGTGAATGATTGAAAATGTGTTTAGACAGCGATTGGTTTGATTCATTCTACTCCTTCTTTCTTTTTTTTAAGGTTGCCTGAGTAAAAATTCTGATAAAAGAAATACTGTATGTAGATATAAAATAGCATTTTGTAATGGTAATATGATCATGTGTGTACAAAAAATGTTCATGACAGACAGACAGATATATAGACAGACAGACAGACAGACAGACAATGGATGGATGGATGGATGGATAGATAGATAGATAGATAGATAGATAGATAGATAGATAGATAGATAGATAGATAGATAGATAGATAGATAATGCAAACGACAGCTTGAATAACACTATAAACAAAGTGTTGCACAGAACACCAAATTCCCTTCTGTATTAGAAATTTAGGAAGTAAGGCCGCCTGCATAATTTCGAAGTCCTGAGCAGGTCTGTAGAGTTCAGGGCCTAAAACAATTCTTTGATCGTTTTAGATTTCTCTCCATAAGCAGTCCTTTGTGTCGAGTGTGCTACTTGGACTAAGTGCTGGCCCACGGCTTCCTAAATGAGGTTATTCTGTTTCTCCCACACACTGTAAATTTCAATAATTTGTTTGAGAGGCCTCTCTCTCTGTCACTTTTTATCATATTATCAATGACCACTCAATTTTCCCCCGGCTGCTCATATAGCGTGGCTCACCCTGGCCCTATTACTGTTCTGTAATGAAGTGCATTGGAGTAGTAATTGGTTCACATTATACCAGATCAGGTAACATTAGCCTTATTTCCTTATCGCAGTGAGCCCTGCTGCTGCCTCTCAATGAGAAACTCAACACAGCTTCCCCTTGCTTTAATGCACGGGTATCATCCAAATAACATTTCAGCCCATCCAGCAACCCCCTAGTCCTGCTCCAGTTTTCTGTTTCAAGATTGCTCTCCGCATTTAGCTAAGCGATTGCTGCTTGTCTGCCAGTTCCTTCTGCTTGAAAACTCCCCAAAAGGCAGCAGCCATTAGAGATGCAGATACAGCGGATAGCTTTTCCCGGCTCTGCGGAAGTACAGTAAGTGAGATGGTAATATAAGCGAGAGGCTGTAAGATGAGTGCGGATGCATGCAGTGCCCAGCTGGCCCTGTTTTCATTCAGGCCTGTATGTGCATCCTTTGTTCTGTTATTTATGTTGCTGCCTAAACTAAACAGGAAGGGCTGCTGCTGGGTAATAAAACGTAAATCATTTAACACGGAAAGAGTTTCCTATCTGCGATTAGCACAGCGCTTCTCATATGTCGCCAGGTTGAGCTCTGTTGCTCAACAACTACGTTGACCACAATAAATCTCAACTATGAATAAAAATGTGCTTTTTCATGTCTAAAAAGACAAAAATGTAACACACTTCACAATTATTAAATGACTTTCAGAGAGTATACTTTTTCTCTCAGTAATGTTTGAGGTTGAGGTTACTGTCTCGCGCAATGTAAATCTCGGGACGCCCCCGGCACGGCTAAAAGGTAGCCTTACTTTGTTAAAAATATCTTTAAAATGATTTGTTATATATGTAGGGTAAATCTGAAATAAAGTGAAATCTAAAATAAAGTGGACTTGTAGTATTGTTTACTGTTGGTAACCTTCCCGATTTTGCTTAGCAAGTATTTGCCGTTTTATATTAGCTGTTGTTTGAAAACGCATTTTGTTAATAAAAACATAGGCTACATTTTACAACCTCTTGTTTTGACTTTACAGTCTAATTATCCTAAATATGATAGCAGTGTTGTTTTAGTAGTTGTCCGCACATTTCAGCTTCAGGCTTCAAATGTGGATGTGACACTTAGAATACAGTAGGTGTCTAAAACAGTAGGCCTGTGTGGTTTCAGCCAGTAAGGACCTTTTCTTTATTGATACAATCCTAAGAGGTTTACAAAGCACTTAGCCTAACCCAGCACAACTACACACTCTGTACATATTTAATGAACTGTCCTCTGCCAAACATAAACAGGTGTCAAGTGCAACACACACACTTGTGTTGATTTTCACAGGTACAGTTTACAGATAAAGGGACGCATACTGTATGACATTTCATGTCTTTGGTCACCAAGACTGACTTTTGAAATGCTCAAATTGTTAAAAATTATAATATTTTTTATACTTTTTGACATGATTGAATAGCTCCTGTTACTCAAGGAGCTGATGATATTGACTGATGATGGTTTGAATGGTATGGCAATAAATGCAGAAATCACAATTCTTTATTCATTTATATGGATTTATTTTTATTGCCTAAATAATGACCCATTTATGTTTTAAATATTTAAAAAAATGAAAAGTTTTAAAGACCTGCTTTCTTCATCTGGGCCGCAAGTCAACCACCCTTTCTGTATTAAAGCAGCCTATAGCATGCACTCGGAGGAATATGGAACAGGATATTGGATAACAAGGTTAAAATACAGGAGCAAATATTCTCTTATTAAAGTCCAACAGCAGGGATTTAATTTGAGCTGCCTAATAGACAGTGGTTTAAAGAAGGACCGGAGGGGAGGTAACGGTGGGGTCAAGGTTTTGCTGTCCAATGGTGGAGATTGGAGAAATGAAGGGAATTTATTTCCACAGGAAATTCTGAAGAAAGGTGGATTATGGATCACAGTGGTCTTCCCAATCCACCTCTGAGTCCAGTAATGTGCTCAGGCCTGCATTTATTAGAACACATGTAAAGTTGACTGTGCTTTATTGTTACACAGGGAGCAAGGCAAGGACAAAGGAAGATCACAAAAGACATGTCAGATCATACTTTATTTGTGCTTGTATTTTTATGCAATATTATGTGTTTTTAGACTGCCAGATGTACTACAATGTTGTTGTTAAATGCCTGTCAGCACACTTTTAGATTAATAAAAACCTGAGCAGTGGATAAAACCTATAGAGCACTAATATAAAATGAGATATGACCTAGGCTCAAGTTTCTAATCTGGTGCAAATGAGCAATGTTATCCAAAAAAAATAAATTTATTTATTTAAAAAAATATATATTTATTAAAGATTTTTAAATTTTAAATTTATTTTATTTAAAAAATTACTTTCATTTACATTTACAAAAAATGTTCAACCAGTATTGTATATTTTATTTATTTAATATTTTGTTTATTTAATCAGTTTTCAAAAATGTATTTGTATAATATGTAATGATGCTATTAATGAAAGAAAGCAAACTATTGTACAAACTATTTATTTATTTACTTAAATATAGTTGAACAATGTACTTTTGTGCAAACTAATGATAGTATTGAGACAGGAATGCAAACTATTGTACAAACTATTTGTTTGTTTGTTTCATCTAAATGTATTTGTACAATATACAATTGTGCAGACTGATGTTATTATTGCACAGATCGTTTATTTACTTTTTTTATGTATTTGTACAGTATACTACTGTACAAACTAATGGTAGCTACTACTGAGGAAGGAAAGCAAATTCTACCATTTCTTTATTTATTTAGTTATCTTTACATATTTTTAAATGTATTTTGTTCAAAATATTATTGTACAAACTAACGATACAATTGAAAAATGAATACAAACTATTTTACTAATTATTTATTTACTTATCCATTTTTACATATTTTCTTTTTGTATTTGTGCACAATACTATAAACTAAGGAATGCAAAATATCGTACAAACTGTTAGTGTTACAGGGATGGTTTTATGTATCATGGATTGTGTCGGTATGAGGTCTTCATCTTTATCAACATCTTTGCATCATCATCATACTGTTTTGTGTCATAAATCTTGTAAACTAGTAGCAAATCGTTTGATTCTCCCAAGATGTCCAGCATTGGCTCTGCTTCCATCTGTTGGATTCATCTGTGAGCTGGCGGTGAAGGTTAACGTTTTTACAGTGTGTGTTACATTTTACGTTTTTATTCTTCTGTTCACTCATTCTGTTCTCTTCTTGTCACTACTCTGAATCGTAGGCCATCCTGCATGCTACTTCATGAAGGCTGTAACTGACCTTCTCATTCCTGCATTTCCCAGAATCCATTTGTACTTTGTTTCACTGTGCGTAACATTAATAGCCACATTGTAGAAAGTATACACAGGCTGTATTACAGAGCCTGATTGTTATGAATCTGCATGGGGCAATGTCTCACTATCCACTTCTTTAAATACCACCTCTAAAAATGGCCTGGAGAGGACGCGGTATGTGAATGTCCTGTCACAGGTGGCGAGCAGCACTGCAGTGACAGATGCTTCACAGCGACAAGTCAAGGTGAATGCCATTTATCTCTGGCAGGATCGTGCCACTGTGACCCACCCATGTGATCTGCTTTCACTATTAGTGAAGCATGAGCTCCTTAAAATCTCGCTTGCTGGAACATCTACAGAGTTGCAAATTACCCCCTAAGGATTTGTGAAAGCAACATAAGGACTGTCTCTCAGTCTAGCAAGGTGGCATGAAAGATCAGTGTCGGGTAAGTTTGCCTGGATTCTCATGCAGGTTTTGTTTGTTTGCTTGTTTGTTTTTTGTTTTCTCTACAAGACATGCAAAATAATAACCAGGATCAACTCATGAGACAAAGGGAAGTGATCAGATGCAGACTGAAGAAACTGAATGGCAAGCAAAATGAAATCAAAGTGAGTCTAGCATGTTAAATCAAGCTATGCTTCTTTAAATATACTACAAAGACACATTCCAATATTATCTTGATCTTATGTATGCTGTAAAGATTTATTTAAAATTATTGGAGTATGTTTTACAAGACAATACTATATTACAGTCTTTCTACTTCAATATTTATTGTCATTTCTGTGTAATTATTTGTAAAATTTACTAGCAATTTCTGAGTGAAAACGTCTTCAAAGTAAATCCCAAATCAACTTTTTTAAAGTATATTATTTACAAGTTTGTTTTATTTTAAGATAATTATATACAGTAAGTATATGGCCATTTTAAGGTCTGTATTTACACTAGTGTTGAAAAGTTTAGGGCCAGTAAGGATTTTTATTTATTTATTTGAAAGAAAGACATTAATTATTTTATTCAGCAAGTGTGCATTATATTGATCAAACGTGACTGTAAAGATATTTTTGATGTTAAAAATTTTTTTTGTAATGTTACAAATTCTGTTTTAAATAAATGCTGTTCTTTTATTAAAGAATCAGGAAAAATGTACCATGGTTTTTACAAAAAATATTAAGCAACAAAAACTAAGAACAAAATCAGTATATTAGAATGATTTCTGAAGGATCATGTGACACTGAAGACTGGCGTAACGGCTGCTAAAAATTCAGCTTTGACATCACAGGAATAAAATACAATTTAAAATATATTCAAATATAATATACTTTAAAAATGTTCAACATTTTTCTACTGTATTTTTAATCGAATAAATGCAGCCTTAGAGAACATACGATACTTCTTTCAAAAGCAATAAAAAATTGACTTACGAAAATTTGCAACATTTGAATTTAGGAAAAAGACATACAAATAATCTATTTTAATGGATTACCCAACTTCCTCATCTTCCTCAGTCAAAGTCCTCTGCGATGAGAGAAAGGATAATGAAGAAGTATGAAGAGATGCGGAGAGTTCTGGAGGAGGACTGTAGGATCACTCTGTCCCTTCTGGAGATGGAGGAGACGGCTGCGGTTCGAGCACTGGACAACCTCATTGAGAAAAACTGTGTCCTGCTCAGAAACATTGAGGTTCAGCTGAATGAAGGGATGATGGACAGTGACATACAGCTTGGTGACAGGGTGAGCCTTTTATATGAAGAACAATTGGTAAGACAAGTGAATTGTCATGGTCTCTTTTTGTTTATATTTGATTTGTGATCTTAATCTACCATGGATGGTATGGGCTGTCATTATATAAAAATATCATGAGTGACCAATAAATGAAATGACCAACAATAGATAGTGAAACCTACCATCCCTGCAACATAATATATTCTCACTATGCATTTCTGCGTCTCTCTCTCATAGGTCACAATGTATGAGGACAGGTATGTATATTTAGAACCGCACTTAAGAGAGATAGTTTTGTCACCATGTCAGGCATGCTAGCTTTTGAAACACAATGAAATCTGAATGACTCATCTGCAAAGGCATTATTGTTGTAGAGATCATGTTCACCAGCATCCAGTTCATGTTTAGGTTTATTTAATGTGCTGTTATGAACACCGTTTAGCTTACTGGAACAAACATTCTTAAATTAAAGACTGTTTTCATCCTATAGCTGGATGGGCTCATTGAGTTTACATACCACTCAGAATTTAGTAAATAGATGCCGGTTAATATTCTAGTTTCTAAAAATCTGTATACGACATCTGAAATAAACTATCACTGTAATAATCAGAATTTTAGGGAATTTAAATTGTATACCTTACACTCATTATTTTCTGTAACTGAACAATATTTTTATAACTTGTAAAATATTATTTTGTAACTGTGAATATGTTTATATTTGTATTGTTCAAAGTAAAAACATTTTAAGAAATCAAAACTTCATTAAGCAAAAGTGGCAGTAAAGACATTACAAAAGATTTCGATTTCAAATAACAGCTATTTTTAAATGTTGTGTATCAAGGTTTCCACAAAAAATATTACGCAGAACAACTCTTTTCAAAATTAATGATAATGATAATGTTTCTTGAGCATCAAATCAGCATATTAGAATGATCATGTGACACTGAAGACTGACGAAGAGTAATGGCTACTGAAAATTCAGCAATCATCTCAATATAACCATCAACCTTTTATATAGAGGATAGGTGTTATCTGTGAGCTGACATACTTTCTGTTGGCAGGGTGCTGGAAGTGTTAACAGGGACAGACCCAGGTCTCATAAAACTTGATGAGGCCAAATCAGATCAGCTACTGGGCCTCACACACAATTTACTACTGTTTATCCGCTCGCAGATCCCCATTGCTAAGAGGTTGCTGAAGAGCTGTGAGTAACTGTCAATAGCACATTCAAAAATTGTTGATCTTTTGCATTAAACAATTTGCAGCAAATGAATGTTACTTTTTTTTAGATCACTGACAGACGAATTACAGTAGAGTTCCATATTCTTTCAAATATATAAACCATAAGGGGACATTCAAACAGAATCCTTATTTTTGCTTTGAAAAACCTCAAGCCGTAGGCAGTGGAATGAGGGAAATAACGCACGGTCATGAGACACTTTTTGTAATAATTAAACTTATTTTAACTAGAGCGCCATGCTTGTAGAACGCCTTGTCATGCACAAGACACCACAAAAGATGTGAGACGCAACATAAAAGATACTCGTTTAGCATGTTTACGTAGAAAAACAATGGAAAAGTAGCACAATGGAATGGAAAAACACATTCTGTGTAAACAGCTAGTCTAGTTTTGAACCTATCTTCATTTTGCAGATTCCTCAGAAGTGGTCCTGGACCCTTCCACTGCCCATCCCAAGCTGATTATTTCATCTGAAGGGGACTGTGCCACTTTCACAGATGTATGGCAAGATGTCCCTGAGCATGAGGGACGTTTTGACACCACCCTTAACGTCTTGAGCATCCAGTGCTGGGATTCTGGTCGCCATTACTGGGAGGTAGATGTGAGTGGAAAGATCTATTGGGAACTGGGTCTCACCTACCCATCCATCTCAAGAAAAGGTCAAAAGGAGGAGTGCTGGTTGGGCCGGCATGCTGAATCTTGGTGTCTGGAGTACTTTGATGGAGACTACAATGCCTGGCATGGAGATACTGCTCATCCTTTGCCCATTTCCACCTGCTTCCATCGGATAGGGATCTTCTGCAGCTTTCCTGGAGGTCTGGTGACATTTTTAGGGGTGGATACCATGACACCACTGTACTCATTCTGTGCTGGGACATTTACAGACTCTCTACACCTGGCTCTTTGTCCAGGTCATGATCTTCAGGGGACAAACTCAAAGCCTATTAAGATATGTCGATCCTAATCATCTTTGAAACTCATACTTAAATGCATATTGTAGCATTTAGAAGATAAAGTAGGCCTAGCACAGGTTTGTTTGATTTCACTCTGACTTTGTGTAGATTAGATTTGTTGGTTTGTATTTCCAGATGTAAAAAAGAAAGTTATGAACAATATACAAATTTTTTGTAGCGCAACAATTGATTCAACTGCACTGCAAACCTTCAAACAATGTGATTTCATTCATCAGCAATTAGAAGAATCAGCACTTCAAAATGGTAGAATAATAGATACGCAAATACATATGACACATGTACACTACCTTTCAAAACTATGGGGTCATCAAGAACTTTTAATGTTTTTGAAAGAACACTCTTATGCTCACCAAGGCTACATTTATTTGACAAAAAATACAGTAAAACATTGATATTGTGAAATATTATTACAATTTAAAATATGCGTTTTCTAATTTAATATATTTTAAAATGCATTTTATTCCTGTGATGGCAATTTTGAATTTCAGCATCATTACTCCAGTCTTCAGTGTCACATGATCCTTCAGAAATCATTCTAATATGCTGATTTGGAGCTCAAGAAACATTTTTTTTTTATTATTATCAATGTTGTAAACAGTTGTACTGTTTAATATTGTGTGGAAACGGAGACATTTATTTCAGAAGTCTTTCAGAAACTCTGCAATGCGCATGTGTACAAAGCATTGCTGGTAGATCAGAGTACACAACAGATAATCGTTCATAGACATGCTACTGTGTCCCACCAATTTTTTAATTGATCCAATCCAAATATTTAAGGACTCTGGTATAGACACCAGGCTTGTTCTTCTCCCCACAGCTGTCTCCCCAGCTCACTATACCATAGATATAGTGTGTTTGATTTCTCTCACAGGTTAAAGGCCCACCAGAGTCACCCTGTCAGAAAGAGAGTTGAATGTTAATATCATTGTTACAGCAGCACCGTCTGCTTTTAATATTAGTAAACAACATTATACAGTAAAAATGATGACACACCTGACAGGAATCCACTCCTCCCTTGAGATAGCCAGCACAAAACATGCCATCATCCAGCAAAGAAGAATATACTTTATTGCTTGAACAAACCTCGTGAGAAATCAGCAAAACCTGTGCATCAAGCAAATGCACAGAGCCATGCTCTGCTACAGACAGGAAAGAAAAGAGAACAGATTCAGTCCTTTCATAGATGAACCTTCAACACATATTCAGAAGTAGACATATGGATACATACACGTCTCTGTGGCTCCCCACCCAGAAATACTGCATTCTGTTCCATCTGTAAAAGGTTCTTTGGGCAAGCAGGCGGCCTTCACAAACTGAGTTTCCTTAGCACATTTTCCATTAGTAGCTTTCAGTTTTAATAGAGCTGCACCACAAGAAAGAATAGAAAATAGAAATAGACGAAAATAAGTATAGACGTATAGATTATTATAGAGTCATTTGCTGAGCTTGAAGGATTTTTTATTACCAAACAGCCAGATTAACTGCATGGAATATCAACAATAATGTGAACTATATTAACATTTCTTGTTCCCTTGACCTTGTCTGTGCGTTTTGATCATTTTCTGATTTTATCCAGGGGTTTCTCCCGTCTTGTGTTTTTCTGGAAATTTTGCTGAAATAAAGAATCCTACAGCAGAGCTTTTAGATAAATTGTTTCCTTTGATGTGATGCTAACAATACATAATGAGTATTATCTGATCAGTTGTACGCTACTTAATGGCAGTGCATTATGGGATTGAATGAGTACACTACATAATTTCCACTAAAAATGGCTAACACTCAAAATAGTGCACAATAATATAAGGTAATGGGGTCAATTTTGACCACAACTATGAAAAAGAAAGATGCACTTCAAAATAAAAGCCTGATGAGATTAAGAAAAGAAAACACTAGAATCCAATTCCAAACAAAAATAAATGTTTAAAAAACTGAATATAATTAGAATCCTGTTTGTGCAAATAAATGTCTTCATTGCTCACCAATATCATTGTAGATGACGTCAGGGGTTTCCTTAAACTTCTCATGGATGATAGTTTCCTCCACCAGTACAGTCTGATCTGTTTGCTCCTTTTGTATCAGATTTAGTCCTCCCAATATAACTCTGTAGTCATGCTTTTTATCACTGTACACACACATCAAAAGACAATAGTCAAGTCAAGTCAAGTCACCTTTATTTATATAGCGCCGATACGTGGGAAGCGGTCCTGACACGATGATCGTCGTCGCGGGCGATGTGCTGCGCACCGTCTCGATCAGGCTCCTGAAGTCCCTCTTCAGTGTCTCCGTCTGCCGCACAATAAAACCAAGCTATGGTTAATTTTAGTTTTAATATGAAAATATATTGTTAGGAGACTTTTTTCCAGCTTATTAACAGCAAAGAAACATGGAAGAATATTGAAATAATACAGATACGAAGTCAGATTTAATAGTAAAAGCTCAAATTCATTTAGTTAAATGTGGTGAAATATAAAATGAACCAGTTAACAGTGATCATGGATTGAATAAGCAATGTCGTGATGAGTTTACACAATCCTCACCTACTGTGTGATTTACAGAAAACACACATACCATCCAAAAATCAAACAAGACAGCAAACATATTACCTTGATTGAAATTAACATATAATAATAATTATAACTGCATGTAAGATTCAAATCGTACCAGAGTTACCATTCCAGATCTAACCATTAGGCTATACTACCCCACATCTTTGTTTGCTTGATACCTTAATCCATGTCTTGTGTCTTTATTTTTCTGTGTTCATTATGGTATTTAATACTGTACTAAAGGCCATACTTACATGCAGTGTGCAGCGGTCAGCACCCAACAAGTCTTGATAAGGGTGCCTCCACAGATGTGTCTGTACTGTTGGGTGGATCCTTTAGGCTTAACCTGTACAGATACTTGCCATGGACGGGCTCCAGGAATAGCTTTAAGACCCCCGTAAATCCGGTTAAGTTGTTTTTTCGGATTGGGTTTACCACAGGTAAGAAAACTCTTTGTTGAAGTGTCGTTCTTAGATAATGGGGTTGGTGGGACAGGAGTAGTAGCTATTTGGGCTGAACTGGTGCTCTCTGGGATTATGCTGCCATCTGGTAGGTGTTCAATAAACAAGAAGTTAATATTAAGTAACTTAAATTTTAGACATAATATTGACAATTAAGGCTGGAATACACTACATGACTTTTGCCCTGATTTACAGTCTGGGGGAGTCAAGTCACCTACCATCAATTACTCAATAAGTACCTTGGTCCATGTTTTAGTTACCATATACTGACACTACCTGTTAGCGACCGTTATTACTTACGCTTGTTGGTAAGTACTACATATTTACCACATGTATAACAAGTACAGTATGTGTCTTGTTTGTTACCACATAATAGCACATTTTTCCGTAGGTGCTACACATTTACCATGTCATTAGTATGTACAGTAATGTGTCTTATTAGTTACCATATACGGACACTGTAAGGACGTGCCTGTTTGTACCCACTTGTCCATAAGTACTACATATTTACCATGTATATACATTAGTAAGTACAGTAAAGTATCTAATTAGTTACCATGTACGGGCACTACCTGTAAGTACCCACACTTGTCTGTATGTACAAAATAATTACCATGCATGTACAACTGTTAAGTACAGCCGTGTTTCTTATTTGTTACCATGTACATACACTTCAGGTAAGTACCTTGTGTTACCACTCATTTGCCTGTGGGTACAAGATATTTGCCACGTATGTACCAGGGAAGTACACGTACTGTAAAATAAAGTGCTACCCCAATGTCTTTGATGCTGACCTTTGATGATCCAATTTCAACCATACCAATAAGCAAATAAATAAATAAAATATTGCTGAAGAGTGTTGAACTTCTCCTGCATTCTATTCTTCATGCAATCCAGAATGGCAGCACAACTAAAAGGTTTGTTTGAGCTCAGTACAGACATGAATTTATATTTCCTTCAGCCTGAGGATTGTTCATTTCACTTTTTGGTACATTTGCCAAAAATAGAACTATTTTATATTAAAAACAAACAAACAAGCCCAGCCCAGATGAGAAAAAGTAACGCAAAAGTAACGTAACACATTAAAAACGTATAAAAGGTAATGCAATAAGTTACTCCGATGTAACACAATATTGTAATGCATTGAAACATTTTTAAAAAGTACATTTTAAAAGTAACTTTCCCCAACACTGTTTGTCACCACCTACCTGCAGAAAGAGTCAGTGAAAACTCCCTCCACTCTTACATAATAGACAATTGGAGTGATACAAACAGTGAAAAGTCCTAGTGCTGTTGGACTGTATGAGTACTCAGCAAATAATAAAATAAATAAATAAATTCAAAAGAACTACCTATTACATTTAGAATGAACATTAATATCAGTGACTGTTGTAAAAGTTACAGCTTTTGGTTTAAACTCAATGGAACACAACTGGATTATAAACTATGCTACTGCATTGTCATCAATTTTACCAGACAAGTCTTACCTGTTGTAGTTGGTACAGTTGGTTGAAGAGTAGTTGCATTTGGTGGAATACTGTCTGTGAATGCATTTGTGGTGGGTCGAGCTTCAGCAGTGGTGGACACCATTTTTGTGGTAGTGGTTGCTGTAGGAAAAAATGCAGCATGTGAGTAATAGCTGAATTTGTGGCAAAACTTAAATTTAATGCAGGTTTAGTAATGTTAGTTCATGCAATTGAATACATCTGCTGGATCAGAGCTACTGTATGTTGGCGTTGTTGAGTTCGAGATCTTGACTTAAAAAGTATCATATTATAAACCACACTGTGTCTTTATCATCAATCTTACCAGGTGTGGGACATTTTCTGACATCACAATAATCCTATCGAAGTCTTCTGTTCTTCTTTATAAAGCACCATGGCTTCTTATCTCCATCAAGGTTTCTGTAATATAGAAAGATGTAGGATTTGCAGTTGAGTTGGGGGTTACTATATGACTATGAGTCCTGCTGCTCAAGCTCAGGGGCTCCATCATACACCCGGCGCAATGCGACGCAAGTGTTTTTTGCAAGTTTCAGCCCGACCCAGTAATCATTTTCAAGTCCTGCGCCACGTTGTTTAAATAGCAAATACATTTGCGCCCATTTTTTTGCTCATGGGCGTGCTGGTCTCAAAACGAGGTGTGTTCAGGTGCATTGTTGGCGCGTTGCTATTTTGAGGCAACTGAAATAGACTGCGCCATTGACTTTAGACCAGGTTTTAGTTGGTCAATGGCGCAGTCTATTTCAGTTGTAGT